TTTAACCACGTCAGGAGCATGAGCTTAGCTCGGGAGTGTGAGGTCTTTTTTTTTTCTTTGAAAAACGTATTCTTGAGCTCTGTATCAAAGTGATGATGTACTTAACTCGACGTGATTGGTCAATAAAGACGAGCTGTGATATATATAGTAAGATTTGAGGTCGGCTTTATTTGCGACCAAATGTGAGGTCGGCTTTGAATGAGCTGGGGAACTCGTTTTTCCTGTACTAGATGCGAGATTTGTAGCTCGGTTTTCAATAGTGAGATCGGGATTTGAATGTGAAGGAGCGAAAAGGGGAGCTTGCTAACAGAGCTCGTGGACGACTGAAACACGCCCGATCTGATATAAATGTGATGACCTGATTATAAGACGATGACTTTGAAGCAAAATGAACCGAATCAAACCTTGAAGACCCGATCTGATTGTGAGATTAAGACCCCGATCTGATTTAAAGAACGGGCTGAAGCCACTGTCTTGGAGAAGACGGCCTGAGCATTTGAGGTAGAGAAAACAAGCTGATGAACAGCGTTTGCAAAATCGTTGCAAGCTGATCGGGACGACTATGATAGACAAGAGATCGGGACTGAATTCAAATGGTTCGTTCTTCTGCCGGAGTTCCTTCCATCACAGGTTCGTCACTTTTTTTTGTTGGCGGAGCTTAAGAGCGCACAAAGAGGTTGTAATTTTTGTTTTTGATGCCATGAGAGGGGCTGTACATCCAATGATGCCACGAAATAGTGATGTTTCTTCATGAGAGTATAAGGAAGACCGTGACCATGAGAGTCTTGATTTTGTTTTTCTGCGAACTTGCTATTAGGCAGCTTGTCGAAGCTCTGGGATCAGTGAGAAGGTTTGTAGAGGAACTGGAGAGTGCGACAGGGTGACTCTTGAGATTTAGAAAAGTGGAGCTTACAAGCTCGTTTTACTTGAAGGTCATATTGAGGGTTGTTTGAGGCTGAAGCTGAGAAGCTAGAAAATCAGCCATTGATGAAGCTTGGCGAAGAAGAAGAAGTCATGAAGACTTCTGTTTTTTTTTTTAATTGTGAGAACAACACACGCACGAACAAACGAGGTTGGTATGAGGCACAGACTTATGAGCTCGGAAGGATGAGCTTATGGAGCAAAACACTAAGGTCAACGATCCCAAGCTCTCTGAGAGATGTGTTTAAATTGACGAGCTCCTTTGCTCAACCCAATCATCACGACTTGACAGATGTGTCAATGGTTTTATGCTGCAGAAAATAGCTTTGAGAAAGCGTGAATAGATAACAAATGGACCGTTAGTTTTGCAATCCCACCTTGCTTATGGATTTCGACATGCCACCATATATGAGACGAAATATCAGCTTGATCAGAAGTGATTTGAGCTTCGGACGTTCTTCTGAAGAATGTATTGAAAGTGGTTTTCCGGAAATCTCAGGTTTTTAGACTGAATTGTGGAGCGATTTTCTGAAGAAGTATAACTCTGTTTGAAGCCCAAAAGTCCTGTACATTTTATGAAAGGATATCTTTCCTAAGACACCTTGTACACGATCTGGATCTTTCTGTTCGTCCTGTAATTTACCTTGCAAAATCCTAATCCGCACTGGTTTTTGTTTTCAGGTTGCAGGTTTTTCAGCGAGTTCTTGCCCGAGAAGCAATGTATCCAACTGGTTTTTCTGCCATAGGTAGGGTTCTGGCTTGCTCTTTTAAGACTCCTCGGCTGATGGTTGTTACATTGGGGCGTATAACAGAGTCTGATTTAATAGTCCCGACCTGATTTAAAGGTCCGGACGTGAGTAGGACCCAATCGAAGAGGACCACCTGAAGGGATTTGAGAGCCACAGTCTAATTTAATTCTGAAGCGACTTGATGACTCCGATCTGAAGCAAGGGATTTAGAGTAGACGAGCTAAAGCATAACTAACTGAAGCAAAGCAAGCTGAGAGTTTGAGCGTGATCTAGCTAAGTAGGGCAAGCATCCTTTTTTTTTAAAAAAGGTCCCGCCCTGGTCTTTCTATTCAACATCGAGCTATGCGGTTCTTTGAGTTTAGAATTTTTCCCTTTTTACTTGTAAACAAGGCACAAATGGAGACATCGGTGAATGTCAGAAGGTGGAAACGAGTCAACATCTACTCGATAGTTGGTGGGACATCTTATTTGTTGTCTTGTAAGAGTATCTTGGCGACGAGTACTCGAAGTCTTGAGATCCTGAGCTTTTGTTTCTTTGACTTGCGTTAAATAGCCGTTCTGTTGAGCTCATGATGCATGATCAGAGACGTGAGAACTTAAACCAATGTTTTACTTGATTATAATGGAGATTAAGTCGGAGACCTCGATGAGGATAGAAACGTTGATTTTTTTTTTTCTAATATCGGGTCTCATCGGGGCCAGGCCATTCAGCTAGGCGTATCTGAAGAAAGATCCCTAGCTGTGAGATTGGTGAGTTTGCTAGTTGCGAGAACTGACAAGCTAACGAACTGTTTAGTTAGGAAAGCTGTTGAGCTGAATTACTTGGGAGAGCTGCCGAGCTGCCGAGCTGCGTTAGCTGCGAGGGCTGATGATCTGAATTGGCGAGAGGGCTGACAAACTGATTTGCAGAGATGATAATCAGAGAGGACTGATAATCAGGGAGAGAGTTGAAGAGCTGTACAGCTGCAAGGGCTACGAGCTGTACAGCTGCAAGGGCTACGAGAGGGTGACAAGCTGCGAGGGCGACGAGCTGCAAGGGCTACGAGCTGCAAAAGTTACGAGCTGCGAGGGCGACAAGCTGCGAGGGCTACGAGCTGCGAGGGTGACAAGCTGCGAGGGCTACGAGCTGCGAGGGCGACGAGCTGTGGTGTTTTCTTTGGTGAGACCGATGATATTGGGATCGATGGATGGTGTTTCGATCATCTTCGAGTTCCGCTTCTTTTAAAGATTTAGTCTCTTATTCTCTACAGACGGCGCCAACTGTGATAACTCAAATCCGATCTAGAGAATGAAGAAGAGTTAATAGAGTTTTAAAGAGAGATCTTTATCAAGAATAACCCTGAGCTCGAGAGATACACGGTGGTTTTAGGTCGTCGGAATAAGAACGCCGATCTAAAATATTTATGGATGTAAATCGAGAACTAAGAACAATAGTGTTGAACCAGAATATCACCATAATTATATGCGATATAAGGTTGTGGTTTAGGAGAATATCAAATCAGAATTCGAAGATTAGGTCATCTAAAAGATGAACTAATTGAAGTTTTTATCAAATTATAGATGGACCTTTAAGAAAGACTGCCTACGTATTGTTGCAAAGAGATCAAGCCATTCGTAGTTCGGTGGTTGCTTTAAATGGGAGTTTCATCCCGTTTTCTGATGATCTTCAGCTTACGAGGAGCTCTCTATTTATAAGAAGACGATGTCGGTTTCTTTGACCTTGTTTCCCTTTTTTATTTAGGAATATTTCTCCTTTTACGTTAAGGAAAACTTCTTCTTTTCTTTATTATTTGGAGATTTGCCATTATCTTCAAAGATTCTTCCTTAATCCACAAGTCAGTGTAATTTTCCTTGTTTTGATGGGCTTAGGTTGTTGCTAGAAAAAGCATTTTAGGAAAGTACTAATTGGCGAAATAATCTAATTAAGATTTGAAATTTGAAAAATACACCATCCCTTTAGTTTTTTGATAACTACATTTATTTATTGATATATAAAAAGACTACTTTGACCAGATTTTAATTAAATGATATATAAATAAAAATAAAAATTATGTTTTTGGTTAAAGATAAAGATATTGAATATTTACCATTTTATAATTAGATAAATCTTAGTATTTGAGAATTTATCTCTATAAAAAAAAAAGATTTCGAAATTTTATTAATGTTTATATAAAGAAATGTACAAAAGTGGTATTCACATTAAGCTTTGAAACCTGAAAAAAAAAAAACAGAGCTTTCTTACCCATAAAAGAGAGTTTTTTACCCCAAAACAGAGCTTTTTAATCCAAAAACAGATCTTTCTTTGAACTTCAGGTATTTTTGTTTCTAATCTTTAATTTTTTTTATTCCAGTTTTTTTTGTTTAGTCAAACGTTTGATCAATATTTTGTTCGAATTACTTTTTAGTAAAATTCTTATGCTGGAGTAGATGTTGTAAGCCTAAATTGTATAATACTTAAAAGTTAATATTTGGTTTTAATTGATTGATATACGAAAGTTAACTGCTTTTAGAAGATTATATTGTATAGATGATTCGTAGATTCGTTTTTCATAATAATGATTAATTAAAAGTTTTTCTTTGACTACAAGTTTAATAATTTTTATTGTTCATATGTTTTTGATAGATATGGAATACACTTTTCACAACGAAATTAGTGGAAAATCAAACACATAACAATATGAAATTGAAGAAGAAAAGTATTGTCTCATGCATTGAAGTTGTATCTAAAGAATATTTCCAAGCTTGGATGATAGAATTGGAAGAAGAGATTAAGAAGAGATTCACAAAGCTTAGTTCAGAGCTTTTTGATGTGAAAGCTAGGCTACAAGTACTTGATGTAAACATCGAGAGTTTACAAAAAGCCAGCAATATGAAAAAAGTAAAGAGTTTAAACACCACGAAGAAGGTAAATAGTGTTCAACTTTATGATTTGGTAATTTATTTATTCTTTTATATGTAGTTACATGTTGCTTATTGTGAATTGATGATACTTGATTTTTTTCCAGACAGCAATAAAAGATTTGAACACCATTTTCAATACTGTGAATTCTACGGATACAGATTCTTCTGTCAAAATATTGAGCGTAACTCCAGCAAAACAGAGTAACGAAAGGAGGATGAAAAAAGTAGTCATGACTGGAAGAATGGGAAGAAATCAAAAGGTTGCGAAACCGAATACATATGATCCGTTTGCAAAAGCAAATGAGAATAATGCTGAATGGCTATAGTCATGAATAAAGATCGACAGGTTTGTATTTTCACAAATTTTTTTAATTATTGCTTTCTTATTAATTTCTATTTAACCACATGCATTAATTGATTGATTACAGGGCCATAACGGTGAATTTAGGCACCATTAATGCAGATAAACAGTTTTTTGCCGAGCTTCTTCAACCACAATTTTGGTTAAGTGAATTTTTAATGTTTAATGTACATAAACTAAATCATTTATGTTTGATGCAGCATATTGACGTTGGCATGTCTCTAATGAGAAATTTTTTTGGCAAAAGTCTCATCATGTCCTTTCCGTAGTCAAAGACTGGCATTTTTAGACGTGCCATTTACAAAACTGACATCGAAGAGCTACCAAAGGTTTTCAGAGAACCCAATAAACTTTGATTGGAGCTTTGAGTACATTGATCACTTTAATGGTATTTTACCAATGTGTGAAAGGACAAATAAGAGGCTTGGAGTTGATGTGGATGATGTGTATATTGTGTTGAACATTATTAATGTTCATTGGTTTGCTTTGGCTGTGTTGAATCTTCACCGACACATTGAAGTGTATGACAGCATCATTTTGCTCTCAAACGATGACGAGATAACAGAGTTTGTGAAGCTATATGCGCATATGCTTCTGTGTTTGATCAAATCATTGGCTTCCCCAACTGACCAATATGCGTTAAGTATCGATGAATACACAGTAAGAACGTGTATCAGAATTCCACAGAACAAACAAACTGGTGATTGTGAGGTATATGCCATGAAGTATATCGAGTGTCTTGCATTAGACGTTGATATGAGTGATGTACAACTATGTGTTGAAAACATCGAGGATATCAGGAAAAAGTTTGCAATGGATATTTTCAGGGAAGCAAAACATACTCTGTAGGATCTTAAGATGCATTACCTTCAAGAATCTTTGGATACATTAACTTTGATTTTGGTTTTGGTTTTTGATTTTGATTTTGGTTTTGGTTTTGAGAGTAGGGACGTATTAATGTTGGATTTGCCTTGTTCTTCTTCTAAGAATTTTTCTTAATTTTTTTCTATGGTCTACATGTGAAACTCATCCCACCAAATCTGCAAACTATTGTCATCAGAACCAGAGAAAAGCCAGAAGTTTAAAACAAAAGAAAACATCAAATTGTGTCCATTCGAAATTTAAAACAAAAGAAAACATCATATTCCAAAGTCACATCTTGCACGATTTTGTCCCGAACGATGACATCTTGAGCAAACTTGTTTTCGTTTTTTCCTCATATCTTCTCCAAATCCTTGATATCTTCTTTTTATGGGTCTTCCCGGCTTCCTTCGAACATCTGGAGGCAGACATATCTGACGAACAATATCAAATGGTATTTCACTCAATTCCAAAAGCTCATCAACAGGTCTAATACTCTCTGAATATGTAGCACACAGTTGTGACTTTGAGTAGTAAGGATGTACTAATGATCCAGAGTATACGCCTTGACTTGATGCAGCTTTAGCAGCGTGCCCACAGGGGATCTTATCAATATTAAACACATGACATGTGCAAGTCATCCGTTCTGTATCAAACAAATAATTATGTGACCCATCACTTACCTGAAACTCATTCTGATTAATAGGCGGCACATCAAAAATAGATGACAAATCACACCTTTTATTGACCTTCTTTTCAACTTTAGGTGTAAGAGAGGAAGTAAGTCTCTGAGCACTTTCTCTACGATCAAACAACCATCGCGTAAGTTTGTTTCTTATTGCTTCAATCAATGGCAAAATAGGTTGCTCACGAGGTTTTTGAACACAAAATTTATTGATTCTGCTGAGTTGCTTGCAATAATGTCATACTTGTCTCCTGGAAAATAAGCATGTGACCACATTTGCACATTTTCTTCCTCCAAATAGGCGCTCAGCTTCTGACTCTGACGACGGATTTCAGTGAAAATCACATTGAATTCTGCTTCTGTATAAGCTTTTGAGGCCGTCTTGACCAATCGAGCAATCTTCTTTCCTCCAGATTTACTCATGACATTCTTTAGTAGATGATAAGTGAAAATTCTGCGATGAGCCAATGGGTACACCTTTTCAATTCCTTTAGCAATGGATAAATTTCTATCAGATATCACTACTAATCTAGGATCATCTGCTACAACAGACTTCAGTTTGGTGAAAAACCACTCCCAACATGCATCATTCTCTGAATCTACTATTCCAAATGCAAGAGGATAAACATGAGAATCACCATCCTTAGCCGTTGCAACTAGCAAAACGCCCTTATATTTTCCTTTCAAGAAGGTTCCATCAACTACAACAACTTTTTTCATGAATTCATAACCTTTGGCAGAAGCAGCAAACGAAATAAATAAATACTTAAATCTTTCATGATCATCAACCTCGAGACATGCTATTGTGCCAGGATTATCCTTCTTAATCTTATGGATGTATACTGGGAGTTGAGCATAACTACTTTATGGAGAACCCATTAGCTCCTCACGAGCATCTTCTCTAGCTTTCCAAATCTTCCAATATTTTGAATCAAGACCATATCGTTTCTTCATAGTTGTACGGATCAGGTCTGGCTTCATATTTAGACCAGCATTTCTAAAATTTTCCAAAAGAAGCTTACCAATTACTTTGGAGGAAGCTTTCGGTCCACCAATGCTTCTGGAAAGACATGTATGCTTGTCGATGTACTTTGTTACCCAGAAATACTCACATGACGGATCATTCTTTGTAGCTCGAACCATCCATTTGCAGCTTTTGTCTACACACTTGACAACTAACAACTTAGTGTCTGACTTGCTAACACTAATTCTGAATTTGCGTTCAATTGAAAGCATCTGTATACTCCAAGACAGCTCTGCTTTGTTCTTGAACCATTGGCCCTTTTTAATGACCTTTCTATCACGTAAGTTAGAAACTTCAACTTCTGTATCATCATTATCCTTTCTATCAATATTCCCAAATGCTTTCTCAGTCATATTCTCCTTGCCTTTTCCATTAACCAAAGGAATCTCATGAGAATTTAAAGCTCATCTTGGTACTGAAGGTTTCCATTTTTAACAGAGATGCAAAGACGAACCGACAATGATTTGAAAATTTCGCACAAAGTATCCAATTGCCTATCACTATTCACAAAAACAGGAGTATCCTTGGGCATGTCTCTCAGCATTGTTTCAGGCAACACATAGCTAAGTTCTACTTCATGAACCAACCTATCTATACTAAAATCTTCATGAACCATGCGAATCATATCATCAAACTTCAGACCATCTTTAATCATGAATAATTTACCTCCTTTTTTGTATTCACCATGAACTTCCATGAACACTGATTCACCTTCCATTCTCCAAAAACTCCAGCTATACATAACATTTTTCTTCATATAAAACAAAAACAAAAAAAAATCAATTTCAGAATGATGGCATTGAGGAAGGTTCAAACGATAGTATCATTGATGGCTGATTAAATTGATAAACAAAATGAGTTTAGCTGCAGTTATATTTTGACTTTTGTACACAAGCTAAACCTATGATGCATCATACGGAAATTGCAGTACAGGAAAGCAATCAAATAGATAAAACTTTTCAATCAGATCCAGAAATTAATTAAATCATGAACAAAACTAAATTGAAAAAGAAGAACTGCAAGGATCTAAGAGATGAATCGAAATTTACCTTGAAACACTGCAATGGTTGAGAAAGTAGAAAGATGGCAATAAGAGGAGAGAAAGAGAAATGATCGATGAAAATGAAGAAGACTGCCGTTTTTTTGTTCTCCCAAAATAGAAATTATATATTTAATAGAATATTCTTTAGATAAATATAAAACAAAATCAAAAATAGACATCATTCGTTTTAAAAAAATTATTTTTATTTTTTAAATTTACAGTTATTATAAACACAAAAATAAAGATAATTTTGTCATTTATATATAATTCAATTTCGTTATTTTAAATTTTTAATAAGGATGTAGTTTTCAAATTAAATTCTAGTTTTGAGGTATATCCCCAAATTTTCTCTTTAGCTCTTTAAGAAATATGCTCATTTCCCCTCTAACAAATAGATTGCGAGTTTCCTTATGTCTCAAGAGAGAATTTTTGGATGATTTGGGAAGTAGATGACCTATGTATTTATATCCGACAAGGTCGGTCTTCTAAAGATAACTTCTCCTATTTGAAAATGACATCTTTTTACGATTTTTATAAATACTGGTGCTACCCTTCTAACTACTGTTATTTATAGATTAATGGTAGACTAATGACAGACTAACGATAGACCGAATGCAGACTGCCGGCAAACTGATTGGTCAAATAGTTGAATGTAGACTACTAGCAGACTAATGGTAGACTAATTGCAAATTACTAGCAGACTAATAGCAGATTGAAAGCAAGCTCATGGACTCCTCTTATGGAAGGGTCATGTTTTGTAATAAAATTGTCTAGTGGGTTATTTCAAAAATTATCCCTAAAAAGTATCTTTATATTGCGATTTGGTTAATCTAAAAATCTATTCCAATATTTTTTGTGATTTTTAAGAAGTAGCTTTGAAATGCTGTCATGTAGCACTCAATAAATTGACATATGTCATTCCTATTTAATTATATTCTTTATTTTGGAATTTGTGTAACACTTAAAAAATTAAAAGTAGTTTATCACTAAAAAATAACAAATTGTTATCATAATAAAACCAAAAACATCTAAAGTCTTTTTCATCCTTTATTTTTGAATTTAAAAATTCTTATAAATAGTGTTTCATCTTTTATTTTCTTCACCTATATTCAGTGTTTAATAATACGATTCAAAAAATTAGAAATTTAAATAATAATCAAAATATAAAATAATATAAAAGACATGCGTTATGGAAATATTTTCTTTTTACTACATGAATATAAACTTTATAAAAATGACCAAAAAACAATCAAAATAATTTAATTTTTGATCTTTTTCCAATCAAAATACTCTATTCAAATTAAAATTTAATAGAAACCATAAATAATACAATAATGACTGAATATTAAATTTATGGTCAATTATAATAAATACAAACAATGTGAAAATAAATTTAAAATCAATAATAATAACTTTAAAAGCAAATTGAAAACTGAAAAATTAAAATATCACATATAGAATATCATCTTAACACATAAAAAATAACTAATATAATATTAAAAATAAACAAATATAACTAATACTCACAATAACACATAAAAGTCAACAAAAAGTCAAATATCTTCAAAAATTTATCTATTTTACAGTGTTTATCTATTTGATTAATTCTATTTTTTTCACTGCTACTTCTATAGCTAAACACTATTTTAACTAATAATTAATCAATTTGTCATATGTTAATTTTTTATTAACTAGGAGGTGGTCCGTGCTGGGCGCGGACATCGAATGTTCGTTAAGTTTTTTTATAAAAAAAATCAAAGCAAAGTTTAATTAATCAAAATGAGTGACCATATAAGCATTACACTAATGATGAATAGCAGCATAAAAAGTCTTCAAAAACATTCCTAAACAATATATTTCGCGTTCAATTAGTCCGTACTAATCGTCGATATCCAAATAATTTTCTTCTTCATCTGCATCCTCTTGTTCGCTCTTTTCAATCCTATTCAAGCATATACAACCAGAGTAGTTATGACAACAGTTGATCATTATCATACGTTGTAAATAATTATTTTTAAAAAATATAGTTATCTTCCAGCATGCCTTGTAACTCATGTGCCTCTTGAAAATCAGGGTTGAACAAAACTTTCGAAATGCCTACATAATCAGAAACATGATGCTCCTCTACAAAAAAGTTGTTACTTATAACAATAAGTATATGCTTGAATAGAAATAATAGGTAAGAAATTTCAAGATGGTAATCTTAGTGTTGTACCATTGCGTATAACGACACGCCAGTCACTTAGAACACAAATGACCAATTGTTCATTACAACAACACCATCTGTCGTTGAACTCAATCGCCAATTTTCCGTGTGTATAACATGTTATCATTCGTTCACTAAAACTATGTTAGATTGAATTGTTTCATATCATAAAGCTAATTAAATTTATTACAAAATACGAAATAAACACTTACGTTTCATCTGTTAATGTAAAACCAATCTTTGGTGTCATTTTTTACTTAAAAGCTTCAAACGAATGATCTCTAACCATCTCAAGTTCGCCAACCGATTCAACAGCACCAACCAAATCTGTAAGCATTATTGCAGAACAAAAACATCTTTAAAATGGAATTTTCGATTAAAATCATAATGAGCAATCTGGAGGAAGACTTACCAACAGGACAATTTCGTTGAAAGTTGCTAAGGTAGAGATTCTCATAACTAAGAAAGTGCATATATGGATTGTCTCCCTTATAGAAATCTCCAGTTTTGAAATCTCCCAAGACTTTAGTGCTAGATTGAAACTCAATCTTCCAACAATTTTTTGTCATTTGTCTCGCCGATCTCCGCAAGACTACATTGAAATTTCTGATTCATTTCCATAGGCTTCCCTCATGGAGTCTCTTTGAAAAATAAGGAACTAATTCCTCAGTTCCTACTGTTGCTTGAATTTTTGAACCCTATAACATAAACATAATTTTTTTACAAAAAAACAAATTGAAATAAACAAAATGAAGTGAAATATAAAGAGAAGAATTACTTGGTCATCAAGGAGAATGAAATGAAGAACATCGCCACCATCTGGTACCAATTCAACATCTTTTCTTCTCCAAAGGAACCACTGACTCATCATCTCGGTCCACTGTCACAAAATATACCACAACCGTGGTTAAGTTGTCAAACGTGTTCAGCCTCACGTGGGTTCCTCCACCATTTATTTTTATTTTCTTGAATTGCATTTTAGAAACAACAGAATCTCCTCTGATTTGGGCGTTGTCGTTATAGTTGTTCTTGCTCTCCAAATGTATTTGTTCTGCTACATGGATTCTTCTGTACAATATCCTGGTATTCAGTTTCTAACCAAATGACTACCTTGTGAAATTTTGAGAACCTATCAATGCCGACTCTGTTCGTTAAAAAGTTTCTTCTAATCCTTGATCTCCATTAATACCATGCATTCAACCAAACTCAATGGTAAACCACACAAGCTACCTTAGTAGATAACAAATCTTGTTTTTGCTTCTTACCGGTGAATGACATTTGCCTCTCTTGCTGCTTTTATATCTCCGTATTTCTTGTATGAAGCTTTTGATTCAATTCCCTAAGACGATCAATCTTAATGATCTTACTTTTTCGTATCAAAGACATTAAACTTATTTCTCTTCTTCTGCAAAGTATCGGCGTACACTTGAAGTTTTTGTACTTTGTTCCTCCACAAAGCTTCCTTTTCCTCAGCAAACTTATCCCGTTCATCTGTTTCTTCCTCCACACGCTTCAGCCGCATTTGTGTTTCTGAAACTTCATTTGTTTTCTTCTCCAGCTCCAATGCTAACTCATTCTTCTGGCCACTGATTTGATTCAAATGTTAAGAATTTAGTCAATAAAATTCAAAGTGACAATATATTGAGAGGAGATGAAGAAATACACTGTAAACCATCCCAATAAAAAAAATATAAATCAAATAACAAATATTGAACAAATAAGGGCCTTTGTTCAATATTCTTAAGCGTAGATAGTAATATTTTGACAAATATTTTGAATTTAAACTGAAATATCTCTCTATATTTTAATAGTTATTAATTTATCGATTAATTAATAATTCTATAAATTAATAAACTTTTGAAATCCCAACATTATTAATTTATAGAGATTTTACTGTACAAACTATTAAATCAAATCCAAAATGAAAAAAAAATACACACACAAACAAACCTGGCTGTGTTTTGCAGTTGCAACATTAAGACAGCTGGGTCATGCCACACGTTATGTATCTCGTACTATTCTTATCTAATGGAAATAAATTGTTTTATTCCAATGTCATCAATAAGTATCCAAAATATTTCATAGTTATTTATGATTAGCAAAATTTTCCACCCGTTTAAATTCATTTTTACAGTATTTAAATTATCTCGTTACACATCCTCTTTCATTCACAATTCAAATAGAAGAGTTTCTAATGGTCGTAATGAGAAAATTTGTGAGTGAGCGAGTGGAACTGGCAGTTTTCTCCTCATGTTGCTGAGATATCCCCTTGCGTTGTCATTATGAATTTGCAATAAAACAAAACATTGATCATCATTAAAGGACATAAAAGTCTCACCTCTCTCATATCACTCCAACATAGCTCTATAGACACAGAAATGATATAAACAAAAAGAAAACAGAGTAAACCAAAATAAGAAAGATGAAAATCGAGTTCAAAAATTCGAACATTGACAATCCAGATGAAAACTCTTTGGCAGCTATCAAACGATTCAGAGTCTTAACTTTCACGAAAAATATGTTCGAGTCTTCCTTTTACTCTTATTGCGGGTTTTAGAGTCTCGATAGTTAAAATCCTAAACGAATAGACTTATATCATCACACCGTGTATGGGATAAAAATTATTACAAAAGATCACACAAATTAAATATTAGATACATTTACCAGTATGATAAGGGGGTTGCATGTCAATTAAAAGTGCTTCTCTTGCTCATTAGTTCAATTGGCAAACAAGAAGTCGATATATGATGTGCATAGAAGGGCCAAAATATAATAAGAATCACGGTTTTTGTTTTTTTTTTAAATAGACACCATCAAGTTGAAATTTTTAGTAATCATCAATACTTTTGTAATCACAAGTTATCCAAAAAGACAATAAGCATAAGCACCCTTAATGATGGACTTATGGTTAGGTGTTTTCTTCTTGATAGTGAGATTGCATTTCGGTTATCAATGCTTCTTAAATAGCAGATAGACATACATAACGTGTGCATTTATAATAGTACTTCTCGTGTTCATTAATTCACTTGGCAAACCAAGAAGTCACTGTTTCGATATATGGTGTGCATAGAAAGGCCAAAACATAATAAGAATCACAACTTTTATCCCATATTGATTTATGTGGTTGTGTTTTTATGTTGTTTGCTTTAAACTGACACCATCAGGTTGAAATTTTTAGTAATCATTTACAATTTTCTAATCAGACGTTATCCAAAAAGACAATAAGCATAAACCAAACTCTTTCCGAGATTCTATATGACATATTCATTTATCTCTAAGCTTCACCTTAGCCGAAATTAAAGAAAAAGGGATAGACATTAGTGAGGAATGTTCCGTATATATATCTAACATTCATAACATCTGAAAGAACACATATACTAGAAAGATGAGATGTAAACTCAAGGCAGGGAATGACGTGAAACATATACAATAAGAGAACAAAAATAGTATACAATGAAAGCTATGGGCCTTGGCAGCATAAGCAGCAGCTCCAACTTCGACCATTGTTGCATCTGGTTGTGGCAAAAAGCGCAGGTTCTTAATTCACAAGCCCGATTTGTCCACGCAAAAACTTCAAGTGCACGTCTTTAGTTCAACACCATCCAACAGAATTTTCCCTGCTCATTAAAAAAAAAAAAAAGATAAGTGACTATGATCCAGTCATTAGCCAAAAACTTGGATATGGAGAAAGTTTTCGATCAAATTACCGTGGATTGGATCGTAAATTCTCACAATAAGGGAAACAACAGTGCTCTGATATTAGTCAAACACATCGCATTATCTAAATATATACATATTAGTACTGACGTATGTAACTACGATCTCGACGACCTTTCTGAAGCTACACATAAAAAAAAATACAATACACACCTGTTTGCATCAATTTCAAGCCAAAGAGGATAGTCGTGATCAAAGGATTGAACAAACTCGCAGGAAATAAAAGGAAAAGAAATTGGATTTGGTATATTTTATCTACGAAAAATATGAAGCTCAATTGTCAAAGAATAATAATAAAAAAAAGAGTTGGATTCAAGGTAGAAGACAATACAAAAACAAAAAAGATATAAACCAGCTATATATTCATCAGCTAAAAGATGATATAGGGTTTTATCAGTTTTAGTATAGATGACAAAAATACAAACATAAAAAGAATAGATCTACACAACAACTTTGATTTCCGATAATGAAAATAACTATCCTATTTACTTTACCGTCTAAATCAATTTGGTGCATTGAAAAGGGAAGTGAAACCAATACCACACCACCTGCATGAATATCAAAAACATCATTAAACATAGAAACTAAACATATAATCCATTGAAAAACTAAGAAGAAGGAATTGAATATAATGTCTAGGTGATTCGCCCGAAGCTTTACCTAGGTGAATCGTTTCACCTGTCACAACAAACAATAAAACACGTAAACAAAGAACCAAACCAAGCGTAAATCTCAAGTTCTTGATCGTCGAAAGCCGTCGATGATTTTGCTTTTTCTGTTGGCGATGACGTCTATAAGAAGTTAGGTCAGGAGACTTTGACTGAATGTGGAGTATCTGTATTTATAATTTATAAGAGCATTCCTCTCGGTTAAATGATATGGATCAAGAACAGAGCAAGAACTGATTTTGACCCAACAAATTTCCTCTTTTAATATTTTTATTTCCCATAATGTAATGCAATCCACTAATTCTAAGACTGAGGTATGTTCGAAGACTCACCCGACTATGAGGTATGTTTTTATTTAATTTTTATGACTCGAACACAAAAGATGGTTCGAATGTAAATTACTAGTGGCATTGAAATTAGTCTAATGTAAATTACAAATGGCATTGATGATCTTCCAATCGTCATAGTCGGGTGAGTCTTCTGGTGCACCAGACTACCATCCACGAAGCCAAACTTCTTTTTGTGAACTCAAGGCGGTCTCAATGTTAAATCACCCATTCTTCATAGTTATCTCCAAGTAACACATGATGCAAGATAACACTTCTTGGGTTGTCGCTGGCTGTGAGATCATATGGAGAGATAGTACGTCTGTGGATCTTCATCGAAGGTGTCGGATTTCAGGGTCAATGTCGAGCGTTCAGTTTTTAGAAAGAGGGTTTTGGCATCAATTACAGACTCGGTTATGGTGTTGATTCAAGGAAGAACGAAAGTCGGAGTAAAGAAAACAAAGAAGAAAAAGAGAATGGTATCAAAAATGAGAAATTGAAAGAGTTATCAGAGATCATGCTCTTATACCATAATAAGCGGCGCATAGATAGTAAAATGGATTTCTCGTTTAATCACAAAGACGAGGATACATATAATGTATATATGATTTGTACAGAGTGATTAGCAAGTACAGCCACTAAAACAAATTCAAATCAGCCTTTGAAAGTTTCTGCTTTCTCTTTCGATCACAAAGCTAAGTTTGAAAAACTGGACACCTTCTTATCAATTTTGCTTTCGATCTTACTTCTCCCTTTGACTACCTTCTCCTGAAAAATAGAACCAAAGTTTATGTTCTAAGCTTAAACAATGCAAAATAGAACATACCAAACATATCAAAAAAATCGAAACACCTTCTTATCAATTTTGCTTTCGATATTACTTCTCCCTTTGAAGACCTTCTCCTGAAGAATCTAAAAGTAAAAATGAAATCACAAGATCAGATTAAAAACCATAAAAACGACTAAAATAATTTTGTACTTAACATATCAAAATCAAATACATCAACCAAAACAAAACCGAAATTTAGTTCTATGACAATAAAGTTTACATACAAATCTTCTTCTTCTCCCTGAAAAGGTCCTGAAAAAACTACACAAATCAAAACCAAATTAAAAAACACTCAGAAGAAAAAGAATCAAATACCATATTACTCGATAAGATTCCTACAACCCTACACCACAAAAAAAATAATAATACAATCAACATAACACAATTACAAATATTAAATAAACTAAATATGTCACGTTAAACATACCTTGTTCAAGACAAATTGATACATCTCGTTCTTTGAAGAAGAAGCGAAACAAAGTACATGTAAGGAAAACATACCATAACTAACATAAATATACGAACCATTATAGATCTATCATAAAAAATTAGAAGCAAGATATATCATTAGATAATTAAGTGTTAAGACTAACGCAATAAGATATAAAGATACACAGCTAGCAAGCAATATATATACCCAAACAGATTAGGGTTTTTATTTGCTGTATTAAGTTTAGCCGTAATTAAATTATTAGGTTTAGCAGACAAAGATAAAACATTAAAAAAACAGCATAAAAATTAAATAAAAACATATTTTGTTCAACATAGAAAATCATAGATCAACCTATCACATGAAGAGAGAAAACCAAAGAACGTAAACAGCAAGAGACGATGCATATATCAAAAAATATAAAACATGAAAACACAGCATAAAAATTAAATAAAAACATACCTCGTTCAACGTAGCAAATCATAGATCAACCTATCACGAAGAGAGAAAACCGAAAAACACCATTAGAGATATACTCAAAAAGAGTAATGCAGAAAATAAAGTAAAAATCATTTATATCTGTTTTACTATGTAAAATGAATAAATGTTTGTTATGAATAAAAAACTAAACTGTTTAATTATATAGTATATAAATAAGTTTTATTTATATGAAGGAGGAAAAAAAATGATAAATACTTATCAACCATTTTTCTCAACGATGGCAATATAAAATTGATATTCGATGAGTTTACTTATAAGCCAGATAATTTATGAATTTTAATATGAAGTATATAAATAAATAAAAACAAAATTATTGATTATATTTTCTAACAGAGTCAAGTTCTTTACCTCCACATGATATGAAATAGCAAAAATATTTTCACACACATTAACAAATATAGCCAGATAGTTCATCATCATCAGATGGATGAACACATCAGAATTGTTTTTCGAAAAAGTCAAATGTTTGAAATCAATTAAAATCAAAAGTTTTTCAAGTAAGCATAATTTTTTATATATAAAAACATTTCAAACCTATGTAACATATGAACAGATCTCTTGCTTTGTCTCGCCAACTTTACTTACAATTCTACTCATTTAAAATTACAATCGATCACAAAGTTAACTCAAACAAAAGCTTGCATGAAATAAAATAAAATATTAGTGATTGTAATCAGAATAATAGGACTAAGAGCATTAGGAAATGAAAAAATAAAATGGAAATTTTGAAGAATACTAAAACCTTAATCAAAATTACCATTAATTAATATATCTATAGACTATTTTACCCTTAGTTAAAGCCTCATCCAAAAACTTACCGAAACAGCTTCAGATTTCTCCGATGTGATTCCGCCGATATTTTTCATCGATGTGATAGCGCCGTTTTATCGAGAACCAGAGGATTTTGTTCTTCGACTTTACTCTATCTCCAATTTCAATCCAGATCTCTCGATGGTTTCGATAGAGAAGTCTTTCGTCGCCCTCAGCTTCCACTCCTCCTTCCTCTCCCCTCTCGATGTGCTTCACAGCGACATTGGCGTGCTCTCATCCCGCGATGTTTTCGTTCTTTTCAGAAAATCTAGTCAATGCGTATGTGAAAACAGTTTTTGCTCATACGGAATTTGAGAAATTTTCTCTATATCGTTAGAAATGTGTATCTCTGAAGAAGGCTTAGTTTCGATGATTAACTGAAGAAATTACTTTAGAGATTTCTGGAATCATACCATCAAAAGTAAACGCTTTGATATATTCTTTGATTCTCACTGGTGAATTTTGCCAATTTCTGTCTGAATTGAGATGAATATTAACTTTTAACATATCACGTTATTATTAGAAAATCGCTTGCGCAGCTTTTTTGATACAGAATTTTCAAATTGTTTCTTGTTCTGTCTCTCTGTTGCGAAGAAGGCTCAGCTAAGTTATTAACTGACAAAATTGCATTGAAAGATTTGTGGAACCCTTTTAAGCAGGCGTTGTGACTATATCTAATGGTTTTCTCTTGGATATGTTCTTCAGAAAAGATTTTCCGAAAGTGTGTTGATTCCAAAGTTTTCTGTTCTTTGTTCTGATGAGTTTGTTTGAAAATCTTGTTTATAATAGTAGCTGAAATTTTGTCTTTAACATTTGATTTATGCAGAGACAATGCCGAAGAACAAGGGAAAGGGAGGAAAGAATGAAGCTGATGATGAGAAGCGTGAGATTATCTTTAAGGAAGATGGTCAAGAGTATGCACAAGTTCTCCGTATGCTTGGCAATGGCCGATGTGAAGCCATGTGCATCGACGGGATCAAACGTCTCTGCCATATCCGTGGTAAGATGCACAAAAAGGTTTGGATCGCAGCCGGTGACATCATACTTGTTGGGCTGAGGGACTACCAAGATGACAAAGCTGATGTCATCCTCAAGTACATGTCTGATGAGGCGAGGCTTCTCAAGGCCTATGGTGAGCTTCCAGAGAATACCCGTCTTAATGAAGGAATTGGTGGTGATCTTGATGAAGATGACGATAATGCCGGTGATGATTACATTGAGTTTGAGGACGAGGATATTGATAGGATCTAAGTTTGTTTTCAGGTTTGAGCAAGCAAAGTTCATTATCCTGGAGGTGAATTGGTAGAGGAAAACAATGTTGCGGATATTGATCTCTCTCATGTAAAGCTTATTTCTTCTCTTTATGCTCAGTTCACTATAAGTGTTATCCACTGTTTCAATTTGGGGTTGTATTTGTTATCTGTTTGTTCTTATCGAGAACTTTGGCTTGCTTGTGTTGCGATTTTGCTATGTTTACATATCCTTTAATGAATAGCATGAAAAGCGAATCACTAAGACTATGTACAATGGTACAAAGATTCAACACCCTCCACCTCAGTTTTTAATATTCCACATCATCTTCTCTCTCCTACCTAATCATTCAACACTCATTCAATTTACCCTATTAATTTATTTTATATTATCATTTCCTTTATCTTCTAATAATTACATATTTATAACAATTATTGATTATGATTAAACTAAACAAATTACGAAATTATTTTTAAAATCTTTATTTTGTACAAAAGATAAAAACAATAATTTTGAGAATTAGAAATATTATTATTGGGATCAAAGTTTAAAACTAAAAATAAATGTTTATAAAAGAATTTGTAAAGCATAGAAAAGATAATTTTTTTGTGTGTCCAAATCAAATGAACCAAGTATCTATTTATAGAACATGAAAAATGATGAATTTTGGTATATAAAAAAATATGTATATATTTAATTTGTTATGAAATAATTGATATTGAATCATTGAGATGAAAAAAGAAAACCAGAAATCTAAACAACCAATCAGAATTCAGCTCATATTGTTATCTTTATATAAATATCTAATTTATTTTTCGGTTCAATCAAATTAAGACACGTGGCAGTTACTTTTACTTTTCAACCGATTCAACATGTTGAATTAATTCAATACTGATTTCTCCACATAGATTTCAACACATGTTTCAACACCCTATTGCATACATTCAACTGTTGAATAAATTATTCAACATACCCATAGTAAGTAGTCTAAGGCCAAGACTCAAACCCCTTTTGCTTAAAAAAATTCTTTGATAAAGATTTTTAAAAATAATACATATTATGTTGTCTGAGTAATTCAATATGGTCCCAGTTCAACTAAAATTTGGTTTTTATAAAAATTTAAAAATTTCTTTTTAAATATTTATAAATAACTAATACATATTATGTTATATATGCAATTTCCTATGATCAATAGTTTAACTATCATTGAATTTTTATAAAAATTTAAAAACTTTCTTTTAAATCTTTATAAATGAATAATACACATTATGTTGTCTGAGCAATTTCATATGGTCCTAGTTCAGCTAAAATTTGGTTTTTATAAAAATTTAAAAACCTCTTTTTAAATCTTTATAAATGACTAATACATATTATGTTATATATGCAATTTTCTATGATCAATAGTTTAACTATCACTGAATTTTTATAAAGATTTAAAAACCTTCTTTTAAAATGGATAATACACATCATGTTGTTTAGGCAATTCCATATGGTCTTAGTTCAACAAAAATTTAGTTTTTATAAAGATTTAAAAACCTCTTTTTAAATATTTATAAATAACTAATATATGTTATGTTATATATGCAATTTCCTATGATCAATAGTTTAACTATCACTGAATTTTTATAAAGATTTAAAAACCTTCTTTTAAAATGGATAATACACATTATGTTGTCTGGGCAATTCCATATGGTCCTAGTTCAACTAAAATTTAGTTTTTATAAAGATTTAAAAACCTCTTTTTAAATCTTTATAAATGACTAATACATATTATGTTATATATGCAATTTCCTATGATCAATAGTTTAAGTATCACTGAATTTTTATAAAGATTTAAAAACCTTCATTTAAATCTTTATAAATGGATAATACACATTATGTTGTCCGGGCAATTCCATATGGTCCTAGTTCAATTAAAATTTAGTTTTTATAAAGATTTAAAAACCTCTTTTTAAATATTTATAAATGACTAATACATATTATGTTATATATGCAATTTTTTATGATTAATAATTTAACTATCATTAAATTTTTATAAAGATTTAAAAACCTTCTTTTAAATCTTTATAAATGGATAATACACATTATGTTGTCTGGACAATTCCATATGGTCCTAGTTCAACTAAAATTTAGTTTTTATAAAGATTTAAAAACCTCTTTTTAAATTTTTATAAATGACTAATACATATTATGTTATATTTGCAATTTCCCTATGATCAATAGTTTACCTATAATTGAATTTTAATAAAGATTTAAAAACATTCTTTTAAATCTTTATAAATGAATAATACACATTATGCCTCTACAAGTTCCATGATCATTAGTTTCGGGTATCATATTGGTTATACATCTGCAGTTTCCAAAGAAAGCACAACTAATCTGATTTTGCCTCAGTCTCTGGTGCTGAAGCAAAGCTTGCAACTGCAGATTCCTTCAGGAACGCATATCTCAATGAAGTTGAAAGGAATGCTGTAAAATCTGCTGTTGTACACGTCGTCTTCTTTCTGGAAATAATTGTTTACGTCATTGGAAGTGAACCTTGTCTTGCTTAACGTTGTACTTGTCCATGTTGTGCAAGACAAGTGCTCTGCACTGAAGCAGACCCATTAAGAACTAATGAGAACGACATTGGTGATGTTGGGATATGCATATTATTGATGCCACTGCTACTCTACATATTTAGAGCTTTCAAGTCAATGAGAAACAAGATCCGTTAGCTGTAGACTAAAGCCAAAATAAACCAGTCAATCTTCATCTAAACATTCCCTCATATGCCATTCGAATTCTGTGTATTTGAATCTATCTGTTGATGAATTGCTTCGATTGCAAAAACAGAGAAACAACAAGGGACAATGCTCATAAGATATACCAAGTGGCTTCCACGGTTATATTTCAATATTTTCTGCAACTCCTATATATCCTTACGATGTAAAAGGGGCTTATATGTTCAAAGAAGAGGTAAAGAGATTCATCCTGTCTCATAAGATAAGATTTGATAAGATTGAAAAAAATAAAGTTAGCGATTCAGAAGAGAAACGTAAGCAAAAGAGATTCAGTC